CAGCATCCCTTGGCGTCACCATGGCAACAGACGACTGCTCACTCAGCATTCCGAGGCTCACATCGGGCGGCTCATCACCACCCTCCGATTCAATCGGTTCGGCCAACAGACCAGATCGGCCAACCTCCGAGGTTCCGGCCGGCCCTGCACTACTCCGATTGACAGTCGTGATGGCGGCACCGACGGCCACAGCAGCAGCAGCAGCAGCAGCAGAGGCAGCAGAACCAATATTACCACCACTATTGCCACTGCCTGCAGAGGTTGTCAAGCGGAGACCCTCGAGACCGAGGACAAGTTGTCCCGAGGTGGCGCTGGCAGGCTGACTGTTGCCAGGCAAAGGAAAGGCGATTGCTTTTCCCCGATTGAATAGGACGAGAATGGAGCGAAACAAGGCAAAGATTGAATTACAAAAGGACAACAAATTAGTATGTAATCCCATTTCATGCTGTGAAACAAAGTTGGTCATATTAGTTCACCTCTTTATCGAGCATAATATCACAGTATACTTTTGTTTGGGCGTGTTGTCCAATGATTTGCAATTCGCAACCAGCTTGTACCATAAGCGATCTAAGCCAGTGCCAAATCACTCACATATTCAAGAATATGGTTGGACAATTGAATATGGTAGTATTTTATATGTAACATCTTCTACATAGTATTTTTATTTATTTATTTGTTGTTAACCACAAATTTTGCCTTGGACCAATTTTGTCGCACTATATATTAAAGCTTCGATTCCTTTATACTAATCTATTGTATTTAGGCAGATACATAGCTAATAATATAGTTTTTTATATAATTGAAAGTTTGATTTATTCAATTAACATCCAGAAATCAAGGATAGCAGATAAGAGTTTCGTGAAAGAGCTGGGAATGAAGTAGTTTAGGACATTTGGACATAGTAAACATAGAGAAGAAGCAACATAAAAGAAAATTATTTTTTGTTTTATAAAAAGGTTTTTAAAACTATCACTAGATTATATATATGAGATGTATTCACCATATTTTATTTAAGGTAATAAAAGATTGGTAACTCAATTTTTACTCATTGATATTAGTAAAACTTACGTTTACGTGGAATTTCACATAACCTTGCTATTCGAAA